CCTACTGGTCTTTCCCCTCCGCTTCCTCTACACTGGAACTGAGCGTGATGATTGTAGTGCTCTGAGCATAGTCATGAGATCGACTCCGACATCTTCAACTTATCGCAACACATATGGTCATCAATCCCTCCCACCCTCTGTACCCGCCAACTTAAAGAACTGTTACTGTTGTACCTGTTCGCACGCAACCACCGTGTCCTCAAACCTCTCCTTTCCCAAGATGGTGTGCCGACACGCCTCATGTGTTCACCCAATTTTTATAAATAATGAAATAAAGAGTGACCACCGTAGACTTTCTCTATCTTCGTGGCCACTATGACGAAATGAAGCCCTTGCAGTTAGATTCCTCAGAAATAGTGAAGTATGAACGTTGCCGGCAAAAACAGGGGAGATTGCAATGGCCATTTTAGGCTCGTTATCCATCAACGGCCAGTTATATCCAACCCCTGTTTACCAGATATTCAACACCCTAAATCTTAACCCCCGGGCTCATTGCCTGGCAAATTTAAATCGGGAATATTGACGTTGGTTGAAGAACGTTCACCGATCGATGACGGTAGATATCCTGCTGGCGAGACTCGAGGGTGAACTCCACGGCAGGTATGCCCTAGGTGCTGTATTTGTGTCTAAACCTGCCTGGAAGGATATTCTCCTGACATTCATTCTCCCACACATGCTCTCCATTTGCTAGTATTCAGTGCAGGCACTGTTTGGGAAAGAGTCCAATTTGACCTACATATTTCTATTCATTAATGCACGACTCTTGATTATGGAAATAGTTGCAGACTTCGGCCATCATGTTCTGTTTGCTCCTATGTTTATTCACGGTATACGGAATACTTTTGAATATAACTTTCAAGATAGAACGCATAGTTACATACATCTCTCTCTCTCAACTCCTTAGAACTGTATGCCTACTCCAGAATGTACCTTGCTTGACTGATGTTTTTTTTGCTTTTCACCCATATACCTTCCCGCGGAGAAGCTCCAGCCAATGCAGAAACCGTTCTCTATTACACATACTTTTATTAATTTTTACAGTTTCCTTTCCAACATTTCTTTTCGTCCTAGTTATTTCAAAAAAGGAGTATAAGATAAAGTCATGTACATTTGCAAATTATCTCCTTCTGTGTGCAGATGGTGGCGGATGAGAGGCAGACCGCCCTTTGTAGTAGTATACCTTGGATTTACAACTCCGGCAACGCGTAGTGGCACTAACATTGTTTACCCCCGCTAAAAAGAAGTGACGTTTGAGATTTAAAAATCAAAACGCTTTTAGCTTACTTAGGTCCCGGTTCGTGGGTATGTACAATCGTCCTCGTTCCGGCGGTAGGACATTTTTCTTGTATTCTTTTTTATAATTTCCCGATGGAAAGTAATGCGCGACAATATAAATTGCTTTATTGTCTTTACTCCGCGCCACACCAAAACCCACTTTCTCCGTGTCCCTCCAAACTAGCTGAGTAAAGTGTCCTATAAAAAGATTATATAAATAAATACTACTTATGTTATGTTAATAGTTGGTTAAGAAAAGCTGAAGGAATGCAAGCTAGAACACTCTAATCTGCACGGATTTATGAGAACCGCACAGTTACAGGTGTTTCTATGTACTGTTATAGCCTACTGCTCCATTGGAGTCCATTTTACAACGCAGCGTGTTTAATCATGTTTTAGGGTTACCAAAACGTTAGCACAAGTGTATTTTAGCATCCAAATTTCACCTTAAATAAGGCCGCACTCATGTATTCCGTTTGCTTTCTACGCTGTTGTGTACGTACTTAATTGCGTGAACACTTTCTAACTCGGATATACACTATTTTGAGAAGGAGCACCTTTAAAATAGATAAACAAAAACAAGACTTACCACAATCTTGATCCTTATTCTTCTTAAAATCATAATGTTGGCCTTCGCTGTACCAGGCAAACGAGGCTTGTGGACCTGAAATGGAAATGTGGCGTGAATGACTGAAGCACATTTTGACTTTAACTTTTCTAACGTTCATCAATTGCAGCACATTATAATCGCTATTAGTGGCGACATTTCGTTGGAGTATACCCTCTTAAAGCAGACAAGGTATATGCAAATTCACTGAAATGTCCCAATTTACGCAATGCAAATGTATGCATCGCTATGACCTCCGTAGGTAAACAATAGACAGCTGCACCTCCGTATGGAGGATTAGAAAGGCTGCTGTACATATTGCTATTTGGTATCGATAAGCATTCACTCAGTTTTATTATGATAATGCAATAATACCTGGTATTTTATGTTCAGGAAGGGTTTCAACTGCAAGAACGAGGTGTAGTATTTTGGAAGAATCCTGGTGCTCTTCAAGACCAAAAACTCTTAAGATTTAGATTCCAGACATCGTCGTGGTACCCCTGTCTAGACCGAGTTGTCAGCAGTTGTGAATTCGTCTTGCATTCCGAAGTCTTCTAATAGGAATGCCGTGCAGGTGCAACCATTCCTCTCAAGCTTTGAGAAATGATTACCGATATGGCCCCTAAACGAGGATATGCAAACAGAACATCCGGCCCTTGTGCATAATTCCAGGAAGGATTAAATTTTCGTGTCTTAAATGCCATATAAACTCTACCGCAAACCCCAACCGGAGGCCTAATTTTGGCACTAGCCCTATGGTGACATCAATTCAACCCTACAGTCAACCCCGACTGAAATGAATGCCCACCTTAACCTTAACATAAAGTGAACACTGATCGGAAAATGTGGCATATTTTAGTTGCACTGGAGTCTGGCATAAATAAGCCTATATAGCGGGAATCCCTTATCTCATAGCCTCCCAAGGTGCCACCTGAGTCATCCATACGAACTATAGAAACTTTCCGGCACCCGGCGAACGCCTCCTCGCAGAGAAGCTGTCATTGGCTTGAAGGGTTTTCCCTCCATGCGGTTCTACATTTTAGGCCTTACAATTCAATTTGAACGCTACTGTATAGTGTCTATAGTGAGCGCTTGGTCGACGAGTATAACTAACTTCATTTTCCAAAACTGCTATCACAAAATGAGATAAGAAACGCCTCATAAGAACTCAGGAAAGGAAATTCTTATTCCGTAAATATGCTGATGGACATCCATTATTCCAGTGCCTGGCCTACCACTGCAAGGTCATTAGCCTTCTCTCTGTGAACTAAACATCTATAGATATTTTTGGGAATCAGCAGCGGTTGTTCCGAATATCCTTGGCCCATACAATAACATCCACAGGACGAAGAATCAGAGTGAAAGAGTAATGCTGTCATTAAAATCATAAAATCAGGGATCCGTCACTTGCAAACACTCGCAGAAACTGGAAATGATTCCCTAAAAATATTGCTTTTATTCACAACTTGCATCAATCTTTCATGAATTAACAAAAGTAACTGCTTTCTTATGACAAAATATGCCTTAAGCTAGCATAAGGATTTCTTCCGTTTGCGATTTACTTAACCTAATTACGAAAGTGCGTAGTTTAATTACCCGATTTGGTCTCGTATCATTTTTCTGGCGCGTGCCGCGAAATCAATGAAGTTTTATATTGCTTTGATGTCTACCTAATTCCCCCATAATTGTATTAAGCGCTCTAGCCCGTCAGTTTCCGCTTTAGCCACCTCATTAAACAGATGACTCGTTCTAGAATGTGCACTAGAATGCTCGCAGAGATGTTGCCGCCTTGATGAGTAGGCAAAATGTGTGCTATCATCTTGGTGATAGACACATTGGTCATCGTAGTAGGTCAGCGATTTCCGAGCAGCTGTTACACATCCAAGTGTTACTCAGCAGGTCTTAGTTATGCATTTTGTAGGCCAGTCCTGTGAAACAGCTCGATGGCGCCCTCTTGAGACGATGCAATAGGTCACGATTAATGTACACGCCTTCCTGTTATGAACCTGACAAAACGGGTAGATTCCCGCTTTGCTCATTGCAGTAGACGGTTAGGAAAAGATGTGTATATCCCAAGCAAAATGCCACCTCCTTTGGGCTAACGCAAAACGCATTGGCCTCGCAGTGTAATTCGAACCCGCACCAGCCAGGAGGAAGCTTTGGTAGAACCAACGCTCTAGTTAACTGAACTAAGAGGCCAACACGGACAGTCAGCTTACTATATCAGAATTGACGGCTCCCGTACGTTGTAGTCCGAATAAACTCACGGCTGCCGATGTAGCGGGAGCTCATCACTCAGTTGGCCAGAGCACTGGCTGTACTAAAGCTTTCCTCTTGTTGTTTTTGGGTTCCAGTTCCACCGAGGCCACCGAGGTTTTGACAACTGCATCAAAGGACTTAGTATCATATCTCAAACCCTCTATTAATTAATGTTGGGACAAACCAAACAGATAGATAGCCTGCGCAAGCAGCTGTGCACACAGCAGTCTATTAACCTGCCACAGGCAGCAAGCACAACTTCATGTCACATCAATCAATCATTCAAATTTTCGGCTGAATTTCAGCCGCCGAGTCCCAGCCAATCACGCCGGTAGTCAAAAGCTGCTTGGCTCGCTGGACCTAGCTCACAGTGGTTTGTTGCCCTAATTTTATTGTACCTGACATACACAAGGGCTTGCTCTGACTTGCTGTAAAATGCTTGTCTCAGTAAACTCTCTCTCTCTGGCCAACCGGTCTTCTCGCTGTCTCACTCTAACAGCTTCTTTGGTTCGGTGTTCGACTTAATTTGCAGTACCAGACGCGGGCGATAACAATTAATCGAAGACTAAAAATCTCTGGTTGAGAGGGTTCATTTAAAATATTCAATTTAAGCTCAAAAACCAGCTGCTTTTTCTGAAAGATGCATTGAAATCTTTTTGACAAAATGTGTGTTCTTACAATTCGGGTGATCTAATTGTAGAATATTTGCGGCCTCGTTGGGAATCGAACACAAACAGCAGGGAAGGCTTTTACCCTGCCAACACACCACCCTTGCGTTACGAGGCTCACCATGAACCGTGAATTTAATCCCACTTGCGTCAGTTCACCCGCCCAACGTCCTGTTCGTATGAAATCCGCCCTTACGGATACAGGAAACTGACAGGATTTCATAAGCAATCGTCTAGAGTCCACCCGAATGACAACTAAACTCCTTTATTGTTAGGGGATTTGGCTGATTTGAATAATTCAGTTGAACGAACTGTAAAAAGTTCGCAGCCAACGCTCTACTATTGAGCTACCATTACACTTAGTCAGTTCTCTCAGTTTTTTAAATTTATTTTCACCCATATTTCGTTATGATGACTAGATACTGTCAAACTGTCTATGACCTACCGTTCCCCATAATTGTATCAACAAGACTATAATTGCATCGTTCCTTGACGTTTTATTAGTCCTCGTGCGTGTAGTGAGGCTTACCACTTCGTCCTGTTGTTCAGTTATATGGTTCTATGCAACCTGTATCCGAGCACTTTGTGATAAAACTATTATTATTGAAACTATAAGCAGAGGCGTCCTCTATATTTGCATGCATGCACACATATTACGGCCGAACTTCTCACAAAATATAAAAAATTAAAATTTTGCCCCAGTCTACATCTTTTCTTTGCCTAGATGACAATGTTTAAACGGACATGAAGCCAACTAACCTGTCAACTGAGTGCTCCCTGGACCCTTGCGAACGATGAGATTTTCGCCGTAATTGCCGCCGTCGCTGTGATCGAACAAATCGTACTTTGCTAGGTGCTCGGCATAGGATTGCGCATTTAAAGCCAGTCGTTTGCTATACTTTAGTGGTGGAGCACCGTGAAGCGCGCGCAACCTGTAAATTGATAAGAGTTAGCGAAACGTATGAGTATAATTGTGGCCTAAAGATTTTTGGCGCTAGGCATCTTGAAATGACTGAAGCAGCTTGCTGTACGATGATCCTATTTTAAACAGTCTTTTGTGATCACAAAACGTGTTTGTACAGTTTTGGTTGATAACTTACTACAATAGGTACAGTAGATTTTCTAGCTCATTGAATATTCCTCGACGGTCTGAAATGCCTGGTTCGGTTTGAAGAAATTATTGGATTAGGGTTGCAGTACGAGCATCATGAAACCTACTTTCATGATAATTCAGTCACATCCAGATGCAAGAATTAACCTAGGGGCTTTGTGCCAATACAAGCGAGCATGCGAGTCCCAGGGAGTACTTGAGAAGAAAACGACTCGATCGCTGGGACGATAATTTTACTTCTATCCCCCAGGATCTGACGGTCGAGACTGTCAAACTACTCCTACGAAGGAGTAGGAGGTACTTAAGGTTTGACAGAACAATCGACGAGCAGATGAAAGGGACACCAATGGGTTAAACGATTTCGGAACTCT